TGAGATTTGAACCGCCGAACTGCAGATAGCAGTCAGCTGAAGTGGCCTGCAGTACTGCACTCTAACCACTGCTCCACCTTGGCTCTCTTAAAGATCAGCCAATTGGGCAACTGCAACAGATGGTGTTTAAATAATTGTGTTCAATAATAATAATTGTGTTTAAATATCACTGACTAGGTCAGTGGTAACTAATATTTTTGTCGTCGTGTGCTGAAAGCACATGACATTGCACCCATAATGCAATGTGTGTGTGAGACACACACACTGCATTATGGGTGCCCTGCCCTCTGCACCTGCGTGTGTGACACCCCCATGCTCTCCTGCACACTGTTTTGGGCCTAGTAGGCCTCCCTGCAGCCTCCTGGGAGCAAAAATGGGCCATAGGGCAGTACCACAGCTGCGCCCCATTTTGCACCTAGTTGGCCACCCTGCAGCCTCCTGAAACCAAAAATGGGCTGCGGCGGGCACACCACACCCCTTGCACGTCCCCCCTGCCCCCTGCACATGTGCACATGACACCTGCTCACCCCGCGCATGCTCACACGTCTCCTGCATGCGCCCCACCCGCCATGCATCCTGGCAGAGACCCGAAAACCAGCTGGCGGGAGGCACGCACACACACGCGGTGAAGCTGAGCTGGGGTGATGGCTCACCTGCCCGCAGAACGGGCTCTCTGTGCGCCACCTGTGGCACTAGATTGTGCGAACACAGCTTTCCAAGGTTATTTGGGGGGAAGTGGCAAAAAAATGTTTGGATATAACTACAACTACATCATCAAAGGCTCCCCTTTTTTGTGAGAGTGACAGAGAAGAATAGCAGGGCATCCTTGTGCAGTTGTGGCTGTCATGTTAATTTTTTGACCTCTCTCAGTGGTCAGCTTTACCTTAGTATAAACAATCTCCGCTTTCATCATCTTTCGCCCTGATTTATTTACCTCTGTACCTATATGAACCCAAACAGTCTTTGTTTGTCAATCAAGCCTTGATGAATCACTGCTTTGTTTTAACCGAAACACTTCCGTAAATCGTAGTTAAGGCAACCAGGTTTTCGTGTATTTTTGCAAGCAGCCTCTGACTAACAGTGCAGCTTTATATTAGTTTATATCTCTATTTATTTATAACAAGCCCTCAAAACAAACTCTAATGATTCTGCCTAGTTGAGTAACAAAACTTTTTCAAGCTCAGAGAGCACCAAGGACTCTAAAGCCCCCACCCCCTTTTCTTCTCTTTCTTTTTTTGCTAACGCAGTTGAATCTCTGAACAATTCAAAATGAATTTTAACTTTGTGACTATAATTGCATGCCCTGGATATTTAGGGGAGATGATTTCATCCTGATATTCAGGGCTTTTGTCATAAATTCAAGACAGGTTCATAACTAAGTAGAGTCACACCTCAACAGCGAAGTAGTAGTCCTCAATTTTAAAACCATTTGCTTAATGACCAATCAAAGTTACAATCGCACTGAAAAAGTGGTTTTCATACTTACGACTGTGGCCGCATTCCCATGTCCACCTGATTGAAATTTGAACTTGTGGCCGTTGGCCTGTATTTATAGTCGCATGATCCTCATTTGCAACCTTCCCAGTTGGATTACGACAAGCCGAATCAATGGGGAATCCAGATTTGCTTAATGACTGGATAATTCACTTATCAACTGCAGTAATTCGCTTAACAACTATGGCAAGAAAATGGAGCAAAACTCACTTAACATTTATTTTATTTATTTAGTTCGTCAAACATGTACAAGATAACAGGTGTAGGTATAAACACGGACATAAATACAAATAAATGGGGACAGTAGGACAGGGACGGTAGGCACGCTGGTGTGCTTATACACACCCCCTTTACGGAGCTCTTAGGAATGGGGTGAGGTCCAGACAGTTTGAGGTTGAAGCTGTGGGGGGGTTTGAAGATGTAACAACGGAGTCAGGTAGAGCATTCCAGGCATTGACCACTCTGTTGCTGAAGTCGTATTTTCTGCAATCGAGTTTGGAGCAGTTTACTTTGAGTTTGTATCTGTTATGTGCTCTTGTATTATTGCAGTTGAAGCTGAAGTAGAAGTAGAAGCTGAAGAATATCTGCCTTACTTAGCAACATAAATTTTTGGGCTCAATGGTGGCCGTAGGCTGAGGACACCCTGTGTTAAGCTCGCCTTAATTCAATGATTTCCTCTTGAAATAGTTTCGCTTCTCAGAATAAACCCCCCCACACCTTCAAAAACATTTCCCTTTTGTTCCCTCTACATCCCAGGTGGTTGCTTTCATGAACTCCAGAGTTGGCCAGTATTTAGATGATCACCCTTTCGTCGCCCTCTCCCTGATGGTATTTATTGCGGCCTCGGCCGTCCCCATTGCGTTCTTCCTGGCTTTTGTCGTCACCACCACGGTCCTGGCGTGCATCGGAGTGATCGTCATGGAAGGTATTCACGCCTTTGGGGAAATGGGGTTGGGATGACGACGACGCGCCTCTCTGGAGACAGCTGCAGCCTTTGAAAGGAATTTAGAGCTTTCAACGTGCTCGTCATCCGAGGCTACCCGATGACAATAAATAAAGTTAAACTTGCTTGAAGTTTAATGGCAGGAGGCCTGTTTCCTTGGCAACAGTGCAGAAGTAAGTCTTCGTTGCCTCTTTACAGGATTTTATTCACTCTCCCTAATCTAGTCTACTACCCTAAGATATCTTAGGGCCTCCTGGACAAGAACTAACCAGTCCTAAGTTTGCTGAGCAGCCATAAATTTGCTAGTTGCTGCCACCTATTGACAATGATGCAGTAAAGAGAATTCCCTAGAGAAACCATAAGGCTAATTGCATCTCCTCCCTCCTAGGTTTCGTAATATCCTTAGGTGGCGTCACCTTGCTTTGCATTCTCGGTGGGCTGGGCTTGCTGTCGCTGCTGGTTTCCGGAATGCTGAGCATTTGTTACCTGTCTCTTACAGCCCTGCTCAGCTACTGGCCCGTTCAAGAGTAAGTACCTCAGGCCTGATAATAAATTATACTCCATAAATTGTTCCAGAGCAGCCACAAACCACAGGATTATGTAGGAAGATGAACAGGCAGAGCTTGGAGGTGGAGTCAAGAGAGGACATAGCCTAGAATCCTTATGCGTCCATCAATGCTCCAAGCCCAGCCCCCCCCCCTCCCCTTGAATTCTGTTAACTCTTATCAAGCATCAATTTAATGTTGACAATTACTGGACTGGATTCTTGTCCTAGGCTTGAGCAATAAATCCTCTGAACTGGAACTTAACGTGAGGTTCTGATTCTTCACGCCTGACGGACCCGGCCCACAATTGCTGCCTTGACTACCCTTCAAATGGGAGTCATGCAAATGTTTGGCAGGAAATCTACTTCCAACAGATGGGTGGAGCTCCTGCATTGTGCTTCGGTTTAACTGTAGGGTTGTGAACAAGCTGTAACGAATGGCCCAGCTCATGCCTAAAGTTAAATTTTGAATTATGGTTCAAAAGCCTCAGAAACCAGCTTCCCTCGAAGGCAGGGGTGTCAGATTCAAGGCCAGTGGGCCGAATCCAGCCCACGGGGTGCTTGGATCTGGCCCGCGGATCTGGAGGCAGAAAAGGACTGGCCCGCGGTGCCTCTGCCAGCGAAAACAGAGCTCCGTTTCCGCTGGCAGAGGGCTAGCAAAACAAATTAAAAACAAAGCAAAAGGAGAAATGTTTCCCCTTTTGCATTTGAGCATGGAAGAAGGGACAGAAAAGGAGAAGAGAAAAGACAAAGAAGGAAGAGAGCAAAGAAGGAAGGAAGGTTATACTGAGAGGGAGGGTCTGAGGGAAGTCCTGCCTTAGCACTTGGCCACCACAGGTGCCCCCGACATAAGTGATGTTGAGCTGGCCACGCCCTCCCTCCCCCCCCAGGCCAAACGCAGACTTGATGCAGCCCTCAATGAAATCAAGTTTGATACCCCTGCTCTAAGGCATATTAAGAGCCAAGGTGGCGCAGTGGTTAAATGCAGCATTGCAGGCTACTGCTAGATCAGCAGGTCAGCGGTT